GCACATAACAACAACAACAACAACATCCCTTGGTATCTAGAATCAACATACATGGAAGCAACAGCCAAGAAATCAGATGTTATATTGCACTGGGCAGATCTGCTGTGAAAGAACTCTTTAAGGTGCTAAAAATTAGATATCATTTTGAAGATTAAGGTGTGCCTAACCCAACCCATGGTATTTTCAATCACCTCATATGCATGTGAAAGCTGCATAATGAATAAGGAAGACCAAAGAAGAGTTGATGTTTCTCAATTGAGGTGTTGGTGAAGAATACTGAAAATAACATGGACTGCCAGAAGAACAAACAAATCTGTCCTGGAAGAAGGGCAGCCAGAATGCTCCTTGGAAGCAAGAATGGCCAGACTTCAACTCACCTACTTTGGTCATGTTATCGGGAGGGATCATATCCCGGAGAAGGATATCATACTAGGAGGGTCAGCAAAAAAAGGGAAGACCTTCAATGAGATGGTTTGATACAGTGGCTGCAACTATGGGCTCAAGTATAGCAAGGATGATGAGGATGGCGCAGGACCAGGCAGTATTTTGTTCTGTTGTACACAGAGTCACTGCGAGTCAGAGCTGATTTGACAGCACCTAACAACAACATATACATATATACACTCTCCAATATATTCTGTCTATATCTATATACCAAAACCAAATCCACTGCCATACAGTTGATTCTGACTCATAATGACTCCCATGGGTTTCCAAGGCTGTAAATCTTTATAGAACTAAATGGTTTCATTTTCCTCCTGTGGAGCACTGCTAAACTTGTGGTCATCAGTCAAATGCCTTACCCACTATGCCACAAATGCTCCCTATCTATCTATCTATAGATATGTCATTATAGGAAATACATATATTTTAAAAAGCCTTTGTTGTCAAGTTTATTCTGACCCATGGTGACCCCATGTATTACAGAGTAGAACTGCTCCCTAGAATTTTCCATAGATTGCTGTAATCTTTATGGGTGCAGATGCCAGGCCTTTCATGGCACTGCTGGGTAGGTTTGAACTACCAACATTTAGGGTAGTCATTGAGTGCAAATCATTTGTTCCACCTAGTGACATATAAGCCAGGCACGGCAGAAATGGGACAAAAGCATTTTTGGTTTCGATTAGAAATCATGGAAAATTTTACCTTAGTTTTGGTATAGAGGAAAAAAAAATTAACACTAATTTTTATGTCTAATTTTTCTTTCAATTTCTCAAAATGTTTATCAGTCTCATAAGTCAGGAAACATTTTAGTATTTTCATAATTAATCCAAATAAACTGTCCCTCATTTCATGAACATGTCATGATAACAATGAAAGAGTCTGTGATTTCTCAGAAGTTATTAAAACAAAGACTGTCCCACAGGATTGACTTCATTTATCAGTCCTGGTCATGGAATAATTTATCACTTTTATCTTTGAATTGAATTGTGTCTGTTTTGCCATTTCAAGGAAACAGAATGTGTAACCTTGTATTTATAGAGTTTCTTTTTCATTTTAATTATTCTTAACTTCTGAGAACACTCATTTGCACATACTTTGCTTTTCAAAGGTTATCTCCACTTTCTGTAGCCTATAATGAAAAACTCCCTGTGTGGTTATGAGAGGTTTTTAAACATTAATTCTGGAATTCACTTCAGAATGAGAAATAGAAAACAAAGAACATAAATTCTGGAACTACACCAGGCCATTTTTTTTTCTAATTATAACTGAGAATTTCACTGAGTTTTTATAGTATCATAAAAATACCTTTCAGAATGATCAAATAAGAATTTAAATGTTCCTTTTTAAGCATAAATGAAAACACCTTTCCTCCTACTTGTTCTGACTATTCAAAACAAAATTACCACAAAATTTCAAATGATTACACAATTAAGCCATCAGCTTCAACATCCTACCTCCACAGCTCTTTTTGTCTTCAGACAGCTGGTACCCCGGGTGGCAGGCACACCTGGACACGCCACTCTCACTCTGGCATATGTGGGCACATCCATTCCCACCTGCACAGGGGTCCATCTCTGAAAGCAATTAAGCAGTGATAGTTAATAATTTATTCACTTTAGAAAGATACACATATTGAAAAGGTGAAGAAAGAATGGCAAAGTGGGAACTAGGACTATTAAAATTTCTTACATAAAAATGTTAAGGATTCCGGAAAGTCCTTACGTGTTTTAGATGAAACTAATTCAACAAAAGGTTTCCCATTTTGTGATCTGTACTTCAAAATCAGAACAAATTCAACATGGATCAAGGCCAAAAAAGAATTAGCTTAATTTCACTATTCCCAAAAGCATTTATCCGGCCTGTGATAACTGCACTCATTGTCATTGTGACTGCACATATAAGTAGTTCCCGATTTGCAATGTATTCACGTTCTGAGGAACCACACTTAACCACCATCTTTTTTTTTTTTTTTTTTGGTATGTCTTATCATTAGTGATATGTGCTGCATATAATGTTGTAGTATGTTATTTGCTGATGTTATCATTTTCATGCCAACCACCAAAGACAAATCATGACAGGCAATAACAATGATAACTTAAAAAAAAGATGAGGTATTGGATTTATATCAGAAGCAACTTATGACAGAGTCGATAGACAAGAATCCTCTTTTAAGTTGAAGACTGCCTGTATTTACCTTCCAAGCTACAAAATATGAGAGTGTTTGTTTTTCCAGTTTGGCCAACAGAATCTGTTTTTAAAGTTTTGGATTTCTGCAAGTCTGACAGATGAAAAATAAGTTCAGGGTACTTTGAACTTACAAGTCATATTTTGATTGAGGTAGAAGATCTTCTCACAGATCTAAGAGTCATTTTCAGTTCTTATGCAGTGTCTGTTGGTGACTTTTGCCCTTTTTTTTTTCCTATTGGTTTCATTATCTACTTCTCAGATACTTTGTTGTATTACAACTTTATGAAGTTCTGCAACTATTTGGTCCTTCTGATACTTTGAATACATTTCCACCTTTTCTTACCTTTCTCGTGTTTCTACATGATATAAACTCTTCTAGGAACTCTTACATGAGGGACTGCAGATTCTATCTGCCCATTAATTTCACACAAAATATATTTTTCTGGACCTTTTGGTTTTGTTTGTTTTCTTGGTTCTGTTGATATGTTCTCTCAGAATAGAAAAGGAAAAATGATGATCTGCACAGTCATGTTCATACCAGCATCTTAATTCCTTTTAATTATATTGTCTATCATCAGCTGTCAAGGTAATGAGATAAGTAACTTCTCATCTAAACTCTGAAAAAGTGAGGGCCAGCACTACAAGGTAGAGGACAGTTACCCTTGATATGTTTTTCTACAATGATTTCTACCTTTGGAAGCTTCTTTAAATTTACTTCAAATTTCTATTGCCTTTAATGTCATCTTGATACACAACTTCCCCAGCCATGAGGGGTTATCCTTTCAGAAAACAGCCAGATATAATTCCCCTACAGCAAGTTCCAATCCTGTTAAAATCCCCTCCTGCTGTTGGAAGAACTAAAAGATAAAACTTCCATAATAAAACACTTAATGTGTATCCTTGGGCCTTTGGCTAAATATTATTCTATGACTATATTGGTTCAATCTGCATGAAATCAGACAAAAAAACAACACCTGGAGAAAGAAGAATTATAGGGAAGTCAAAACCAGACAATTGCCCAGGCATATGGAGGGTCAAGAATCATCAGTTCTTAACAATCAGAGAAGAGAAATGTCATTGAATACATGAAATATTCGGCAGTGATCTCAGAAGGACCATACCTCGTTATCAAATTCACTGCCATTGAGTCGATTTCGACTCATAGTGGTTTCTAAGGTGGTAAATCTTTACAGAAGTAGATTGACCAGTCTTCCTTCCATGGAGTAGCTGGTGGGTTTGAATCAGCAACCTTCTGGTTAGCAGTCAAATGCCTTAGGCACTACCCTACCAGAGCTCCTTATGCCTCTTTAGGGCTAATGAACACCAGAAGATAATCTACTCCACATTCACCCTAAAACAGCCTAAAAAAAAAGACTTGAAACGTTGAAATGGATGTGCAAGTAACTTGGTGTCCAGGAAAAAAAAAAAAAGTAATACTCTTTAAAGGTGGACAACTAGAGCTAATACTCAATGATGTAAATGTCACAGTGTCTGATATTCCAGTAAGTAAAAGGGGGGGGGGGACAACTAACCATGAGGAGTAGTAAGAAAATATGACCCATAACTAGGAAAATCATTCAATAAAAACAATACCAGAAATAACAGAGATGATGGAATTAGCAGACAAGCATATTAAAAGAGCTGTTATAAATAAACTCTCTATACAAAATGAGAAAGTAAAGTAGAGAACATGAAACAGTGCCAAAAAGAACATCTAAATCTGAAGAATACAATACAAGATCTGAAATGAAAAATTTACGACATGGGACTAATAGCAGATTAGGAAATTAGAAATTTATTGAATCTAAACCTTAGTAATATAAACTATTCACAATGAAGCACAGAAAAAAAATGACTAAAGAGTAAGGACTAGTATCTGAAATATATGAAGAATTCTTAAAAATTAACAGTAAAAAAAAAAAAGATCCAGTAGTCCAAGTAGAAAATGGCAAAAGACATGAAAGGATCTTTCACCAAAGTAGTTAAACAGATAGAAAATAAGCACATGAAAAATTTTCAACCTGAATAACCATCAAGGAAATGCAAAGTAAAAGCACACTGAGATATTACTACACAATGATTAGAATAGCCTAAATAAATAAATAAATAAATAAAAGTGACAACACCAAATGATGCTATACATTCAGTTCTTGTATTTTGCTGCCTTACAATAACCAACACTATGTATCTTTGAATAGATCACCATTCCTGAAGGAAAGGATCTGACTTCTATACCTAAATATCCCCATCTGTTTAGAATTTATATAGAAGGTGCTGGATAAACTGTGGTTTGAAAGAAAGAGGAGGTAGTAATCACAAATCCTGACTTCCAGTATTGATTCTAGAAGTTGGTAAAACTAACTAACTAAATAAATAAGTGCTATTTTGATCAATACTCAGTGGATGCGCTGTGGTAGACTATTGAGACACAGAAGTCAATAGGAATTATATCCGTGACCTCATGAAGCATCCACATGAGTAAGCCAATAGAATAATCACAGACTATAGTGAGTGTTGTGAAGAAATAATGATGATACGAGACATGGTAGCTGAGTAAGAGGGCTTGGCTGCAAAAGAGAATTTCAGGCAGAAGTCCTGAGACTTTGAGTTTAGAAAGGCTTAGTATGTTCAAAGAATAAGAAGGAAACCTCTTCAGCTGTACATGTAAGGCCTTGTGGCCCATGGGAAGGACCTCTGAATTTATTCCAAGTTTAAGAGTAAGTCATTGAAGGTTTTACACAGAGAAGTGGTAGGGTCTAAAGTAAAATTCCCAGGTCGTCTGATTTTTTACTTAAGAATCCTTTTCTCTTTATCTGGAGATTACTAAAATATGTATTTTATTGAGAAAATACTTCATTTCAAAACAGTAGCCCTGAAGCTATGTAAGATAAAGACCTTTCATGGACTTAAATCCCTTAAATCCCTCAGTATTTTGTAAGTTTATGCACAATTAAGGAGTTTCAAATTCAAAAGAATTTGCTGGTTTTTTTTCTTTACGTTTCTTTTCTTTCTTTCTTTTAACACATCCTACATAACTTGGAGAATATAAATAAGAAGGTATTCTGGATGGATGAATTGGCATAGTTTCTACTAAATATGTCAGTTTAATAGCAGTTTAAAATAATACATTGCAATTTATCTTGAACAACTCAAACCTTGGCTGGAAATCATTAAGGACTAGATTATTAGTCTCAATTTTGGAATATGCTTAAGTGAAAAAAATATAATTTTTATTTTATGTATCCCCAATATAGTCTAAAACTGTATTTAGGTTTTGACAAAAATGAGATAAGAAATACAATTTTAAAAATTCAGAACTTGGCTAAGATTACAAAATTTATCTGAAATTAATCTTTGACATATACCTCTTTTTTCCAAGGATATATTTTATAGAGAGCCAGAGAGATATTTTTGTGTTATTTGTTAAATTAGATACAAACCTAATTTGCAAACTCTATAAGTCAATTTATACTTCTGAATTTTTAAGAAAAACCTTTTAGAATTTGTGTGTATGTACACTGAAGCAGTCAGTGTTACTTTATTATAATCAGTGAAATAAATGTCAGGTTTAAACTTAGAATATTTTACCCCTGAAAGATTCCTTATAACAATTCCTCATGTGTTCCAGTGGCCAGGTTCTACTGAAGTTAAAGACAGAAGGATTAGAAATGCTATGGAAAACATCTGAATACTTTTGCTCTTAACATGACTACGTTCCAACATACTCAGTTACACTATCACAGAACTGCTCTATCCATGCACATCACCATAGTACCCAGGGTATCTGTTAAGTTTGTTCACTAGTCAGAGTCCCTTGATTACATTTCTCTATATATTTTTACTTAAATTTTAAAGATGCTCTATAGCCAGCAATTCTGCTCAAAAGTTTGAGATATTCATCTTTAACAAAGTACCCATGTGGGTAAACAATGCACATATATGAGGTTAAGGTGGCGTTTTACCAGGGAATATATTTAGGTTATAAGGAATCTATTCCTCTGAAAAATTACTTGGATATATGTTGTTGTTGTTGTTAGGTGCTGTCAAGTCATCTCCAACTCATAGCGACCCTATGTACAACAGAACAAAACACTGCCTGGTCCTGCACCAACCTCACAATCATTGCTATACCTGAGCAAGGACTGCTGCACTGTGTCAATCCATCTTCCCTTTCATCATTGACCCACCACTTTACCAAGCATGATATCCTTCTCCAGGGAACGGTCCCTTCTGACAACATGACCAAAGTAGGTCAGACGAAGTCTGGCCATTCTCACTTCCAAGGAGCATTCCAGCCACACTTCTTCCAGGACAGATTTGTCTGTTCTTTTAGCAGTTCATGGTACTTTCAGTATTCTTCACCAGCACCACAACTCAAAAGCATC